AAAAAAAAAAAAAGAAAAGTATGAGCTGTTTATCTTCTTAAATCGTTTATGTCTATAAAATGGATGAAGTCAAAAGAGCTTCAGTTAAAGCCCACTTTTTTCTAGTGCTAGATTTAAGTACTTTGTCCAGCTGGGTAAATAGGAAAAGTTATGCTAAGATATGTATCTGGGATAATTATAATTAATAATTATAATAACAATGGCTAATGATTATTTAGCTTTATTATGTGTGCTAAGCACTCTGGTTTTACATGCATTATCTTTTGTTCTTGCTACCACCCTATGAGATGGTATTGTTATCTCATTTTACAGCTGAAGACTGAAGCTTGGGTATATTAAATAGCTTGCCCAAGGCCACACAGCAAAAGACACAGACTCAAACATACTTCTTACTCACTCCAAAGCCCATTGTTCTTGACTGCAACATGTCATTTCCTCTCATTAATACGGATTCCATAGGTTGTTACTTCTTAGTATTGAGTTTCATGGTTAACACATTTTTCTATTTTCTCTTCAGTCTGCTTTTATAATGTCATGGTGATTTATGTGGCTTTTTTTGTGTGTGTAAGTTATACATATATGCACACTTTTGGAATGAGGGAGGTCTCAAGAGATACAATAGATTCGCATTGATGTTCCGTATTCATTATCCTAACAGCATCTGCAGTGTTCAATCAACTAAATTATTCCAGTAATAGGAGACAAAACTACCAGCTTTCATAATTTTTAATTGTCAAAACAGAAAGGAATCAGAATAAGGGTCACTGAGAATTAAAAAAAAAAAAAGGCAGTAAAAATCTTAGTTAATTTAAACGATAATTAAAGGTAGATAAAGTTTGTTGGTTTTTGTTTTCTTTTTTTTAAAAATCTAAGAACAGGTGTGGTAGCTCACACCTGTAATCCCAGCACTTTGGAAGTCCAAGTTTTGGGGGTGGCTTGAGCCCAGAAGTTGCAAACCAGTCTGGGCAACGTAGCAAAACCCCATCTCTACAAAAAATTACAAAAATTAGCTGGGTGTGGTGGTGCATGCCTATAGGCTGAAGTGGAAGGATCACCTGAGCCCGGGAAGTTTGAGGCTGCAGTGAGCCTTGATTGCACCACTGCATTCCAACCTGGGAAACAGAGCAATACTTTGTCTCAAAACAAACAAACAAACAAAAACTATGTTCACAGTTTTTTTTTTCTGTTATTATTTTCTGTTTTCACTAAAGACTCAGCCCAA